CTGCTGCAGCAGTTCGTTGGTAGCTCCAGGAGTTTGTGCGTGCTTTCATTCTTAATGCAAATCCCTAACGTTTGGCCTCTAGTCATATGGTAGTGAACTGTAATGCAAAGTTAAAAGTGAAGTCTTAAAATAGAGGTTCACTGTGCCATCAAAAGCATTTAGTCATCTGTGCTAAGTTCCGTGGGAAGCTGTTGCTCTTCTGAATCCACCAGACATTCCACCTGGCAGCAGAAAGGAATCATTAAAATGCTGGAAGTCTGAGACTGCCTTTTTATTTTTTTCCCCTTTTTAAATTGTGCCTGTGAAGCACCACTGGTACTTAGCAAATATTAATTTGTCAGTGTGCTTTGAAAGTTGCCTTGAGTAAGGAGGGAATTAACCCTACACTTGAAGAAAGCAGATTGCTGTTGAGTTTGGGTGAGCTGACTGAGTTGCCAACAAGGATGCAAATTTTGACTGTATTTTTTCAAGGTACTAAAATGAGGATCTTGCAGTCACATACACATTTAGGAATCAAACCTTACATAATGAATGATTATAAAACTGTCTTGTAAACAGAGGACAAAAAAAATAAGATCAAGGTTTTTGTTCAGTTTCAATTATCAGCCTGTCTTTGCAAACTCAGTCTCAGCTATTCTCCGTTCATTTAGTCTTTGTAAAGGAAACTTATTTTCCTTAATTGAAAGGAAATTACTATCTTTCCTCATGAATAAAGTATACTCTTAAATGGTAGTTTTTCTAATGATTAATTTTGAGTGCTAACTGTCTTTCAGCCCGGGTAAAGATGTTGACATACAATTTTATTCCCTTTAAATAGGTTTTTATAGATTTTTCTTCAGAAGTGGTAACTGTAGCATTGGTAGTTCTCATTCAAGTATCAAGTATTAATCAGTAATAAATCTGGGGTTTTGTATGTATTTGTTTCCACTTGATTAATGAATTTTCATCTGGTATCTCAGTGTTTCTCAGGAAGAATGTTCTGTCTCATTGCTACAGATGACTTTTTTTTCTAAGTGTTTTATTTTAGGCAGGTTGATCTGTTTCTCTTCTGTTTGTTCCAGAACCAGATTGAAGAGAAGGTGTATCAGACTCAGTCTTCTCTCATGGTCCATGTGGTTTTAAGTTGCTGCTTTTTATTCAGATGTGACTCTTATCCTAATATCTGGTTGTGTTAGTACAACATCTGCACAGAATGACTTGATTGTCCTCCTCCTCCTCCCCCCTTTTCCTGAATTCCACATGGGAAGGTTAAACTTTCTAACACTTTTACATAAAGACAATGTACAGTCCTTAAAAACAGGATACACACGTAGGGTTTGTTCAGTGCTTAAGCACAAAACCATCAGTGCTTTGCTGATCTCATGCTATTTATATTAAAATCTATTTCTATGTTCCCTAAGAATTTGGGGAAGTTTTGTGAAATGTTTTAAATCCCAGTCAAATGAAAGAAGGCACAGCTGCCCCACTCCCTCTGCTTCTGTAGTAGAGTATCAAAGAGGAGAACCTGTTAGTCCATCTTCTGCGTGTTGAAAGGTGGTGAAGGAAATGTAATTAATAAATAGCTTAGAAGAGCTGTTCTTGTTGCATTTAGCAAACACAGCTTAATTTGCTTTTCGTGGTGCATGATATAAATCAGCATTATTTTATGCTTTTGGTAGATGATAGATGTAACTGTCATGTCTGAATCCTTCATTCTCAAAACATGTACACTTGAATTTCTTTCAGTCCATAGGAGAGCATTGGTTCACTTCCATTTTTCCTGGCATGATGAAAGGAACTGAACTGTGAAATGGTGGAGTAAAGTCCAAGGGGTTTTGATCATTGGGTAGCAGTTTAGAATGTTTAAATAGGTTTTCTTAACAGTTTCCCAAATTTAATGTTAAAAAACACTCTACACCAAACCTTTTATTAACAGAAATTTTATTACTTGTGGTGTTGATTATCAGCAGATTATTGCTGTTTCTTTTGCAGGAGTTGGTGGAGAAGTCTTACAGTTTTCATTTGAGTAAAATCAGGAAACACACCTAATTGGATTAGACTAATAACTAATCTTCTGAGGTTAGGTCAGTTTAGTTTGTCTCCGTTCTGATGTGCTGAAGTGGTTATTTCTAGGTGAATAATGGCTTTATGTTTTTTTATCTTGATTAATCAGAATAGTTAATTTCTGCTTCAATTTCCTTTGCAAATCTTCTTTCACTAGCACTGCATTTCTTTGCATGATCTAACCTGAGTTCTTTAGACTGAATGCTTAGAGGTTTTGATGAAAAATTGCCAACTAAATTCCTGACATGACCAAAGGCAGAGCTTGGCAGAGTCATGATAAATAGTCCTGGAGTAATAGGGTTCTCCTTGCTCATGGAGCATCACCTGTAGATTTTTCTGTCATTGACTTTGGTAGGGTATTTCCCACTACCAGTGTTTCAGTAATGTTGTAGGGTGTCTCCAAAGAATTGTTTAAAGAGATTGTTCTCTAAAATTCAGCTTATTCTACCTGCTGTGGTCAGTACTTCAAGAAAAACTGCATATAACTTTGCTCAAAAATAGAAGCATTCAGACTCCTCCTGTTGTCT